TGTCACCTCTTGGGGGTGAATTGATTTTGAAACAAGGTGTTAGGGGTTGTGATATAGAGGTTGATTATCATAGAATCCCATTTTCCTTTGTAGTTATGTCTATGAAGGGCTTTGACGTAATTTTGGGTATGGACTGGTTATCGTCATACCGGGCAGTTATTGATTGCTACCGCCAGAGGGTCACCTGTTGTACCGTAAGCGGAGAATATTTTCATTTTCTGGGAGACCGGGTTGGTAATGTGTTGCCACAGGGGTGTGTTCCGCGAGGACGGAGTGAGCTTAGTGGTCTACTTGCTAACCTTTCACCATGCTCCGGCTCGAGCGAAGAACCAAAAACAACAGCTCGCTCGAGCGACCAACTCCTCGCTCGAGCGAAGATCCAAAATTCTGGACAGCAACACTTGGTTTCTAAACCCAACCAACCTGAAACAAACCTGCCCAACACATCCTATAACTCCAAATGAGAAGATAACGGACAACAACAACAATTATACAATGACAGAATCTACGGAACTTAAGTCCGGATACAATAATCAAATGGGAAAAGACCGGGGTCGCTATAACTACAATAACTAAGACCATCCGATTATAAGTTCTAATTGATCTTTTTAATAAAAAATTAAAACACAAAAGTTGTCTAGAATCACGTATACATGCCTCTGCTCAAATTTCATAATTTATCAAGATCGTTTACTATTTTTCAAGATGTACAAATCAATACAATTCACACTAAAACAATAAACTCCTAATTAAATTCTTTGTACCTTAACTTCACCACTTTGGCCCTCCACTTCCGGCCTACACATATATTCCATGTGCCTTCCGTAGCCAAACTTGCACGGGAATATCGTCCCGAGTTTGACTCACACTCCCCGGATGATTAGCATATACGTACGCGCGTAAATCAAGCCACTCGTCTACTCATGAGAACGAGACAACAATATACATATACAAAACATTTCACTCATGAGAACAACATAACAATGCCAAGTCTAAGGTATTCAAATAAATCTCATAATCCTCATTTTTTTTATACACTCTTTTTTACTATCACTCAAATAAAATAACAATCCATAGAGTCATGGTGGAGTATAAAAAATTTATCTATGGGTTCCTAATTAATTTTAATTTCATATAACCATGAGTGTGATTACAACCATAAAATAAATCTATATAAAAACCCTAACCTTGGCATAAACAACTAATCAAAATAATTAAAATCAATCAATCAACTAAAAACTCTAAACCTTACATACACAACTAAACAAAATAATTAAAATCATTCAATCATCTAAAAACTATAAACCTTACATACACAACTAATCAAAATAATTAAAATCAATATATCATCTTTATATAAATACAAAATCAAACTAACATCAAATAAATAAAAATAAAAAAATAAACATAACGAATTAAATATAAATTAAGAAAAGTGAATTTTGTACTCACAATATTTTTTTAAAAAATAAAGAATATTTTGAAAAATTAAAAGAGTCACCAAAATAAAATTCTAATTTTTTTGTTCTTTTTTCTCCACTTTCTCCTCCTTTTTCCGCCGTTCTCCTTCTCTCTCTCTCTCTCTCGGAATTGATCTCCTTGTTGTCTTTGATTAATCAATTTCTCTCTCTCTCTCTCTCTCTCTCTCACGGATTGCTCTGATCTTTTTCTTTCTTCTTTTTTTTTTTATTTATTTATTTCTTTCTTTGTATTTTTTTATCAACTTCTAAACCTAGTTGAATACTTATATTATATATATATATAATAACCTAATTTTCTATTATATTATATTATACAAATAAATCACATATATAAATATAAATATCTTATATAAAATTTATATTAATAATTTCTTCTTTTAACATATATATAAAAATATATAAATATAAATATTCAGATTAATTATATATAATTAACTAAGACATTAAATTAATTTAATGCCACATTAAATTCTCATGTAATCACACGATTAATAAAGTCAAAAATAAAATAAAATAATAATAATAAATACAAAAAAATTAGGGTCGCTATAATATACTAACATTAGAAAATAGTTAAAATAATAATTTTGGGTACCGTTAAATTAAAGCGCAAACAAAGGCGAGATACCAAGCAAAAACGGCATTACCGAAAATTAAGATTTTAAAGTGATTAATCTATAATTATAAGGTCTAATAATTAATAATAGGATTTTAAAGGTGATTATTAATTTACGGAATCGATTAGGGTTTACTCGAATTAATTCGCGATACTTTCTGATTTTAAGGTTTAAAATGCAATTAAGCGAAAATTCAAAGGTTTATTGAAATAAACTCAAGATTA